AACGAGTTGGTACGCATCCACGCATGCGCGCACGCACGCACGAGTGACGGCCATGTGGAAGATAGGTCAACGCCAATTTATTGTGTCTGTACCTAGTACCTAACATGTTTTACCGTCGTTAAATAAAGTTTTTACTTACTTACTTACTTACTACACGCATGCACGCACGCACACACTGGCATATATATATATATATATATATATATATGATATGTTTTTGTTCGATCATCGAGTACACACAAAGACGCATAGAAAACGCGGACTGAGACGTCGAATGTCTCCACGTATATATACATATATATGTGCCAAATTTTCGGAGGACTACGAAGGTCAGGTCAACATTTACGTGGAAAAAGACAATCGGAATAGCGGCGAGATGATGCGTGCATGCGCAATAGCCCCCGTCTTCGTCCCTACAAACCATCCTCTGCTCGCCCGCATTCGTCACATATTTTTTTCCGTTATTTTTGAATGGCGTACGACACGTGAATTTGTCCGTTGTGAAGGGGTTTCATTTTACCCGCGCGGTGTCTATAGTCAACAGACGCCACACTCACGTCCCGGGGGTGACACGTGACACGGATAGGCGGTGCGCATGGAGGGGGGTCGGCTTGGCCCAGCACCCACTCCCGTCAGTTTCCCGCCCATGCACAGTCTGTACGTAGTACTACGTACAGCGTGCATGCGGCGCATACGGAAAAAAATCCCATTTGTAAACGTCAGCGCGAGTGGCGAAACACGATTAACAGTTATGTAAAGTGCCTCGGCCATACTTTATTTGCATGAGCTTAGCATTTCCATTGTGCGAAAGAGTTACGATTGACCTCTAATTGGATCAGAGCCGTCACGTGACCGCAAAACTCAATAATCCGAGCGCGCATAATGACATTGAAGGGGTTAATGAGAGCAAAGGAGAAAGGGCTGTCAGCTCTGTCATTCTCGGATGGCGTGTAACGGGATTATATACAGGCAGGTCTTCGTAACCGAATTAGAGCTTCCTGAATCATTGTATGCTTATTACATTGTGGGCGAGAGTTGTGACGGAGTAGATCATCTAGGAGAGACGCGAGAGCCGGTTGTCAACGTGTCATAAACGGATGTCGCGAGCGCCAGCCCTAATCCGACACAAAAGGGTTACGCTGTAGTGCTGCCACGGATGCATTTGATGAATGACTCGAGTGCGAAGAAAAAAGAAGAATTTTCGACGCATATATATATATATATA